AATATCCCTGAGCAGTGTGCTTATCCTGAAGTAAAAGTTGAGGGATTTTTATTCTCACAAAAAGGGTATTTTTTGACAAAACCAATTCTAGAAAAACCCTAGCTTTTTCTGCAGGTGCAGGAGACACCTGTCATTCTGTCCTGTGTGTTCAGGCGTGTCTGGTATAGTGTTGCAATACAGTTGTAACAATCAAGAGGTGACTTACCAGCTTTTGTAGTGCTGGAACAATATTAAAGGGTGGTATTTGGGTGGTAACTATATATTTAATATTTTAATACTCCTAATAGGTCAGGAGGATTTATTTTCTGTGTCAGCTCCATAATCAAAGCATAATGTGGAGAGACTAGAACAGTTGAATAGGAACAAAGGAAATTTTCTGCTCACATTAACTAAGAGGTTGTGTTAGTTTGATGAAAGCTTTAGGTTCTGCCCTTTTTTTTTCAAGGCTCTGTAGCTCTTGCCCCAAAAAGCAGTTTTGCAATTTTAAATCATGAGAATTCTTAATTGTCAGAGACAGCATTTGATAGAATCATATCACACAGTCACAGAGTGCTCGGGGTTTGAAGAAACCTTAAAGATCATCTCATTTCACCCCCTGCCATGGGCAGGGACACCTTCCACTAGTCCAGGTTGCTCCAAGCCCCGTCCAACCTGGCCTTGGACACTTCCAGGGATGGGGCTTCTCTGGGCAACCTGTGCCAGGGCCTCCCCCCCTCACAGGGAAGGATTTGTTCTGTGTACCTAATGTAAACCTACCTTTTCTTGGCTTGAAGCCATTCTCCCTTGTCCTGTCACTACATGTCCTTGGCAAAGTCCCTCTCCATCTTTCTTGTAGGCTCCCTTCAGGCACTGGAAGGGGCTCTATGGTCTCCCCAGAGCCTTCTCTTCTCCAGGCTGAACAATCCTAACTCTCTGATTGTCTCCATAGGAGAGGTGCTCCATTTCTATAGATTAATTTACTGCTTGCACCTCTCTGGATGGGTTGCAAAGACCCACAGTCATTAAATTAGTTCAGCACATGTATTATGCACCTGCTAATCCTGTATACTGTGGCTGTGCTTGTACTTTACTCCAAATCTTCCTACATACGTATGCACAGGTGTGATTTACAGCCCTTGTAGGTAAATCCCAGTCAACTTTAACCTGGACTGCTCAGAGGGCAATTTAGATACTGCAATTTAGCCCAAACCAACAGGGAATGCCAGAGAAGAATGCAGGTGCATGTATGCATGGCTGGGCTTTGCGAGTGAAGATCTGGAAAGGCTCTGTCCACATTTGTTACAAGCACGCTGGTGGCTGATAAGGCCAATACGAGACAGACATATCCGACTGCAAAAGGCACAGCAGAAAGACTCCCCAGGTGGTAAATTCTGCAGGGCACGATTCTTTCTGCGTTGCCTTTTCTCCTCGAGAGTGATCCTGCGTGTGTTCTCAAAGGCATCAGCAGCGTTAGAGATGGGGTGTCTCCAGGCCTCCCGATTGGAGGCCAGAGTAGACCAGTTATGTTGATCAATATGGCCAAGGCTGAGATGTTGTTTCAGGCAGTCCTTGTATCTCCTCTTTGGGGCTCCTCTCTTGTGGCAGCTGGTGGCAAGTTCCCCATAAAGCAAGATCTTAGGGAGGGGGTGGTTGGTCCTTCATCCTGGAGACGTGCCCTGCCCAGTGCAGCTGTGTTCTCAGCAACATGGCCTCAGTGCTTGTGACTGCTGCTTGTTCTAGAACAGATGGATTGGTCACATAGTCTGACCAGTGGATGTTTAAGATTGTTCGGAGGCAGCGTTGATGGAAGCGTTCCAGGAGTCGCAGGTGGTGGCGGTAGATGACCCATGATTCGGAACCATATGAAAGAGTAGACAGCACTATGGCTCTGTAAACACTGATCTTGGTACTTTTCTTCAAGTGTTTGTTACACCAAACTCTTTTGTGGAGTTTTCCAACAGCACTATATGCCTTTGCTAACCTGTTGTCTGTCTCCCCGTCAATCTCACCATCCGAGGAGATGAGGTTACCTAGGTAATTACACTGCTGGACTGATTTGAGCTCTGAGTGGCCAATGGTGATATGGGGATGATGGAAGACTTCCTGAGGTGCTGGTTGATAGAGAACTTCTGCATTACGGAACAAACGTAATGCAGCCCAGACCAAAGGTCACCAATCAAAATGTGTATAGTGTCACCAAGAGCATGTCACAGCATGCACAGTGTCTTCAGTGTCACCAATAAGAGTATGTGCAGTGTCTTCTGTATGACCAATTAAAGTGTATACAGTTTTTTATGCTTGAGACTTTTGACCAACTGTGTTGTGGCACGATAGTGTACAAAGAGTATAAAAGAAACACTTGAGAGCAATAAACAGCTTCCTGATCACCTTACACCTGGACTACATCTGATATCTGTGTCGCTTTGGCCATTCCGACATTATCAGCGACAGGCAGGAGGGAGGAAGCACTGCTGGAAGGACAGAGCCCACTGAGGCAGAGGGAGAGCAAAGGCTGCTGCTGTTGTGCACTGCATGGTGTTGGCTCAGCATTGTCCACGGGCCCTCAGAGAGGAGACCTGCTGATGTGCAAAATGCACCCCCAGTCTTCCACCTTCCAAGGGCACCAGCAGCTGTGACCACATTTGTGGCACATCTGGAACGTGTCAGGGCACACAAGTGGTGAAGTGGCTTTTTGCAAAGTCACATGACAAGCAAGAGACACTTGCCAGGCACAAAGGAACAGGCAATGCAAGCATCCAGGAGTCCACAAGAACTCTGCTCATAACAAGAAAAACCAGCAATAGAATAGCTCTAAATAAAATAGCTCTAAATAAAATAGCCCCTTTAACCGGTGCCAGGCTCCCCCTCCCATCTCCCACAGCACCCCACAGCCTGTGGCTGCTCCTCCCAGGAGGGGCTGTCACAGTGACACAACTGCCTGCAGGTGTTGAATTCTAGAAGATGTTTTCTTCCTCCTCCTCCCCTCTGGGTTCACTTGCACTTGCTTTGACACCCAGGTGGACCTTGAGCAGTGGACATGCCTGGACATGCCCTTCTGGGCATTTTTTTTTTTCCCCCTAAATTGCAAAAAACCCCAGCTGTTACCATTACTTGCAAAAAGCCATCATTAAGTAAAGCTAATTGGAGCAACCATAGTGCTGGACATTTTATTCCTCCCCTTGATTTGGTCTGAAGTAGCCTTTGTGTCCATTATTGGTTTGTTAGTTGAACCAGCGTTTCTGTCCTCGTAGGTTCACAAAAATCATTTTCTTAAACAAGATAAGAGAAATTCTGTGTGTTTGGGAATGCAAAGTCATAAGTATAACACCTGTGGGAAAGGGAGCCCTGGTATTTTATTAGGCACATATGATAACAAAGGACTTTCTGACTGTGAGAAGAAGCATTTTGTCCATGTGTCCTCTTTAAAACCCAAATATAAAGAATGGCACAGTGTCAAACAGCTGAGAAAGGAGTAATACCACAGCTACCATGTGTAGGCTACCATTAAGCAGCAGTTCCTACATTATATTCCAAACCTCATTTTATTTTATAGCTTTAATATTAATGGTACTTGGTACAGACACCCAATTCAGCTTAAGGTAACAGTGCATATACATTAAATACAAATGGATGCACTGTGCACCTCTGTCTGCAGTTTATTTAGTTGATAATATTCAGCAAGAACTGCTGCTGTTGTTCTGTTTTTCACACAGAACCCTTAATCTTTTTTTTTTAAATGTATTAACTAGACATAATTTCTATAATTGCCTTTCCAAGTCAGTCACCAAGTTTGTTATGTGCCAGTCCTGCTTCTCAGGTCATCTTATTCCAAAATGTGGAATATGTAAAAATTTTCTTAAAAAAAGGATGTTCTTTGATGTTTAATCTTTGTATACTTTCAAGCCTATTCAACAAGGAAGGAGATTTAATCTGTGAAACAGAGAGCAGCCAACAAGGTCTAAGTGATGTCCAGGTATTAGTTAGAAAGACAAATTAATTGTCGGTAGAATTGCCTTGTTAAGGTTTAGGGCTGGACGTGTTTCAGTGATCTCAGACTTGGGGGAGGTTAACAAGGCTTGGGAAGAAGGATGTACCACTGATTTGGGCACACAAAGAATGCAGAATTTACAGGCCACAAGGACATTTGGCGCATAAAGATAAAAAAGAAACTAATAAAGACAACTCAGCAACTGTGCTGAAATCAGGTCCATCTGGGTAAAGGGTAATTCCAGCAGGGGCAGGTCACGACCATCGACTCACGGTCTCTGACCCAAAAGAAGGGGAACACTAAGCATGGGACTAATTAGAGTGAGAAGCGAGGGAATTATTAGCGAATTGAACACTAATTAATAAGAGAACTAGGTAACTTGTAGCCAACGAACCTTAGTGCCTTTTTTTGCTAAAGTGTATAAACAGTGAACAGCTTTGACAGTCGCTGTGCGGCCTTTGCCGCCCCAGCGCCCCTTCCTGCGGAGAGCTGGCAATAACCGCGGGGTCTGCGCTGTGCGCGGGCCGGGAGAGGAGCCCGAGCGGGGACAGTCCCTGCTCTGGGTCCGTCTGTGCGCGGTGTCTGTCCGGGGCTGGGACGGTCCGTCTGTGCGCGGTGTCTGTCCGGGGCTGGGAAGCTCCGTCTGTGCGCGGTGTCTGTCCGAGGCTGGGACGGTCCGTCTGTGCGCGGTGTCTGTCCGGGGCTGGGACGGTCCGTCTGTGCGCGGTGTCTGTCCGGGGCTGGGACGGTCCGTCTGTGCGCGGTGTCTGTCCGGGGCTGGGACGGTCCGCCTGCGCGCGCTGTCCCTCAGGGCCGGAGCCGCCGCCACACCCGCCGTGCCGCGAGATCCGGCTCCGCCCGCGGGCACGCGCAGGGCGGGCACGCGCGGGGCGGGTCGGGGCCGCCATGTCGGGCGGGCCGCCCGTGCTGCTCGGGCTGCGGGACGCGCCCATGGCCGGGCCGGCCGGGGCCGCGCCGCTCCCCGCATGGGCCACCAACAAGCTGGGCGGCTCCGCGGTACGGCCGGGGCCGGGCCGGGCCGGGCGAGTCCGGCCGGGATGGGGGGCGGATGGCGGGGCCTGGTCCGGCCGGGTCTCCGCGGTGGGCGGCTGGCGGGACCGGGCGGGTGTCAGCGCCGGGCGGGGGTTGCAGGGCCGGGATCGGCTGGTCGGGACTGGGCTGTGCCGGTTGGTGCCGGCCCGGCCGTGTCCCAGTGCCGTGCCGGTGCTGGGGGCTGTGCCGGTCGGTGCGGGTCGGTGCCGGCCGTGCCTCAGTGCCGCCCCGTTTGCAGGACTGGCCGCCGCGGGTGCGGGCGGCCCCGCGGTGCGGGCGGTGCGGGCGGGCGCTGTCGCTGCTGGTGCAGGTGTACTGCCCGCTGGAGCGCGGGCCCGCGCACCGCGCCCTGCACGTGTTCGCCTGCGCCGCGCCCGGCTGCGGCCCCGCCGCGCACAGGTGAGCCCGGGGGATGGAACCCGCGGCATGGGGGGTGTTCCTGCGGCTCTTCCCCGCTCACCGTGTCTGTCTTTGCCCCACGCCGAAGCTGGAAGGTGCTGCGCTCCCAGTACTCGCAGGCGCAGGAGAAGGAAGCCCGAGCCCAGCCCGTGCCACAGGTACCGCTCACAGCCTGCCCGCCGCTGCGCCACGGCTGGGGGGAGGCTTGGAAATAGAGCCACGGCTGAGCTGGAAGAGCTTCACACCTTATGTCCCGTTGGTTAAGTAACCACAACCTTTCTCCAGAAGCTGTGCTATACATTAGCTTCCAGTCACATGCGTGGTCGTGTGAAGAAGTCGTGTCACAGAATTTTTGACACCATACTACATTGTTTACTAGAAGATTAGATCACAGATGTAAGTTGTGTTAGGATGATTTTAAAGTGGAAATCATACTTCAGCTGTATGGTCAAAATTGATATTTAATACTTTAGTTAGTGGTGCTAACTAAACATCATTTTTCAGCTTCAAATGATTGGGCTGTACTGTGTAGGTTCAGACCTTTAAGATGTTTTCTTTATTTTCTAATTTAAATTTATTTTTAAAAAGTTTTTCATGAGTTTTAATTAATCCAACTGAAGTATTGTTAATGTACTTGTGAGAAAAAAATGCATATTGGCTTAAGCAGATTGGAAGAAGCAGGTGGCAGTCAAATTAGTGAAAACAGGCAGGAACTGTTTATTCAGCTGGGGCATTTGCAACATGAAATTTTGGTCTGTAAATGAGCTTTACTCTGACAAAATGATGGTGGTGTCATTATTGTTGTTATTACTTCCTTCCACATTCTGCCCTTGGACTTACCTGTGTGGCAGTAACTGTGCTGCAGCTGGAGGTCCCCAGCCAGCTGGCAGGTTCATGGCAGCAGGATGGACAAGGGCCACTCAAACAGCTGATGAATTCTTGTTCTGATTCTCCAGCGTGAGATGTTTCTTGCCATAACTGTTCTGATGTGAAAAGTAAACGTGTGTGTGTGATGGGAAGTAACACTGTGAGGAGAATATGTGAAATAACAGTGAGCTCTAGGTTAAGGTTTCAGTTTTCTCAGCTGTTAGGAAACTGTATTTTAAGTGCTTTAGGGTGGATGACTTGACAATGTTCTTTTCCCTTTTTTTGGGGGTTCTCAGAAACAAGGATCAAACTTTGCTGCAAAGGATTGGTGTGAAGAGGCGGATGACTGGGGAGTCAGTGATGCAGCAGAGCCTCCTGCGTGTGCCTCCCTGCTGGCCTTAGGTGAAGCAGTGAGCAGCTCCTTGTCCAGAGAGCTGGACTGTGCATCCCAGCTCCAACAGCTTCGCTTGGCTGAGGCTGCAGAGGGCTCAGGTTCCCAGGGCACACATCCTGCAGCCAGTGAGGAAATGGTAATGGAAACACCTGGTCCTGCTCCTGTCTTCCAACCCTTTTATATTAATGTGGTGGATGAGGAAGACTGCAGTGGCTTCCTGGATACAGACCATGCAGATGAGCTACTGAAGGAGTATCAGCAGAGAGAGGGGCTTGATTTGGAACAGATGATGTCAGAAAGGTGAGAACAGGTTTGGATTTCATGGTGAAACTGGAGGATTTGTGTAGTTTTCTGTGTGCTGACTGATGATCTAAATGGGACTGCCACTAAACCTGGATGATTTTGTTTGGAACTGGCTCCTTCAGGAACACTGGTTTGTTGGAAGAACAGAACAGTGCACCCAGTTCTGTCAAATTTTTCAAATTTTTTTCAAAGATGCATCTATTTCTGAGCAGTTGGAATGTTCTTGGGCTCTAGATAGAGCAGAGGACAATCTCTGGATCCAAACCAGGGTGGCTGAAACAATATCTGTGCTAAGTGGCATGGGTTTATATTGTGACATTTGACACTTTTTCTTTACAAGGCTAAAGCTTTTCTTATGTTGCAGTTGCATTTTGAAGAGTTCAGGGATTTAGGGATTTCTGGCTAGAGACTGTCATGATGGTAAGACTCCTGAAGGTTTAGTAAAGGTTGTCTGAAAAACAATTTTTGAATGTAGTTACTGAAAAAATTTTCTTAATAAAATGTTTAACTTAGGTGATCACAGTGAGCACTTATATCCAGGTCATTTGACTTTTCCTGAATTGTGGACAATGTTGAGTTTGTTTATAGCTAAAGCTACTGTCCTTGCAGAATCTGCATAGAACACTTGTCAGCAGTGGTGTTCCTGATGAGTTTTGTTGACTTTTATAGAATCATAGAACCTTAATTATGTTTGATTCAAAACTGAAAAAGACAACATCATAATTTAAAAAGTAGAAAAACTTTTGAGAAGTTACTAAAGGGTTTTTTTAAGGAATAAAGCTGGTGGATTTGAATCCCATGGGATAGTGTGAAGCACTGTTAGTAATTGTAAGCCACCAGAAACTGAAGAACCAGAAGCAGAATGTTCACTTGCAACCCCAATAGGAATTGTCTCCTAACATATATAGTTTTGTTTAGTGTACTTAGTGTAATTTAATGGGAGTGTATAGTAACCATTGCTTATTTAAAACATGCATGTCATACTGAAAACCTTATTGGACATCTTGTTTCTTTCCTTGTTTTCTTCCAGCTTTGCAGGTGAAGGTGGTAATGAAAAATATGAGAAGAGTGAAGTCAAAAGCTGGGACCACACGTTTCATAAATTTATGAAAAGAATATCTCTGTGTCCTGAACAGATTCTAAGGTAATCTAGTTGTAATGGGGAGATACAGATTATAGACTTGCATTGTTAGTACATCAAACCAAACTATTTCGTCAGAAAGATATGTATGCTTTTATTTCTTCATCAAAAAATTATTATGGTTGTTGCCATGGCTGTGTGGTCAGGCTTCAGTCCCTGGTTGGGCTGGTTTTGTACAAAGTCTTGAGTAGATGAGAAGCAAAGTAGGATCAGAGGCCTCAGCTCTGGCTATGGGAGACTTTTTTGACACAAGACCTGATGAGAAGACACCCAGACTGTCTTTGAAGACTCACTGAAATGCAGACACAGATTTTCAAGAGACAGTTTTGAGGTGGAAGTCTGGGAAGTAAGGTGGAACAGTGCTGTGCTGTTGGGAGAGGTCTCCCAGGCTACCTCCTCCTGTCAAATTTTGTAACCTGTTTGTAATTTCTAATGTCTCAGTCCTTGAGATGTTACTGAATTAAGAAATTACTTGTTTAAAAGCTTCAGTTCTGTAACAACTTCTTGTGCTGATCCCCTGCAGTCTTCAGGTCTTGTAAATGTGTTGCTTTCCCCAGAGCAGAAGCAGTGTAACCTCAGAGTAGCTACTCTCCCAAAAGGGGAGTTAATTCTGTGTGGGAGCATAACAAGGGGATTAAATCATAAGTCATTCATAGTAGCAGATAATACACAAGGTTTTCCTGGGTCACACCAAGTGTTCCAGGGAGTCCAGTGCTGCCTGGCTGGTCAGGCTGGCTCAGTGTAGTGACAAGACTTTTACTTTATCAAGTTTCCAGAATCAAGTGGAACCAACTGGTGCCTTTTTGATGGAAGCTGAAGTCTGAGGGACTGGTTACACATATAAGAAACATTAGGTACTTTAATTAATTAACTACCAAAGGTTATACAGGAGATGTAGTAACACAGAGTGCAAGTAGCATTTCTTACAGCTTTTCACTGGATCTATCACTTTGCAGTATTGTGCTCTTGGAATTTTTTATTCTAAAACATCACCTTTGGTGATTCCTGGGATGTAAAATATTAATTATAAATAATAAAATATTTAAAATAGTTAAAATCTAAATATTACATTATTAAAAATATATTTTAAAGTTTAAATATTTATATAACACTCATTATAATCTTTCCACAGCCCTCCCTTTGCCCTCCCTGGGTTATGTCAGTGCTGTTGGACTCCCACTGCTCCTGGGCTGTGGATCTTGTTGAGCTTCAGCAAAGCACACAGTCTCCTGCTTGGTGTTCAGTGCAAACCATCCTTGGTCTGGGTTTCCTGTTAGTTGTGAGGCTGTGAGAGCTCTTAGAAATAAAACACGAGTTTTGAGCCATAACTGCAGTGGGTTTGAGACCTATTCTGTGTTGAATCTTTTCCTTGAATCTTACCTTTTACTGCTACTATTTAGGATTCCACTTTTCAGGAAAGGGTAGTTTCCTTAATTAAATGAGTCAGGTACAGCATATTTTGGAGGTATCAAAGCATTTATCTCCTTAAAACCAGGTCTTTCCTAAAGATTTTCCACGTGTTGGCCTTCCAAGTATTTCCCCCTTCCCATCTTTATTCTTTGTTTAATGACTCTTTTGAAGCTCAGGCAACGATTCTGACTCATAACCATGGTTTTTACTTCAAGCAAGTTCAGAGATTGCAGTGAAACCAGAACACAGTTGCCAAGATGTCAGTTTTCCTGTCAAATTTAGGTGGTAAAAAATAATTATTTGTTCCTTCCTTTCTTCTCTTAGGTACTCTTGGGGTGGGCAGCCTTTGTTCATCACGTGTCCTCCAGCCAACATGAGCCAGGGCGTTCCAGCCTGCAGTAGCTGTGGGAGCAGCAGAGTGTTTGAGTTGCAGCTGATGCCAGCCCTGGTCAGCCTGCTCCAGAGTGACTCAGGTGCTGAGCTCTGCCTTAGTCCAGTCAATACCAAAACTGTCACCTTTTTGGTATTTGGATTGTTTCTTTTTCCCCACAGGCACTGATGTGCTTCACTACAGTGATCATGTTCTGTAGAATTCACTGTTTCCATTAGAGCTGAGAAAAAGGGAGTCCTCTGATTGCACCTTCACTTGCTCACCAGTGAACTTTAATAACTGCAACAGGGATCATTCCACGACCCTGGGAGTAATTTGTCTTTATTGCCTCTTAAAGGAGGCCTTGGAAAATAATAAATATTGTCAGATAAGATTGCAGACAATTAAGGAGCTCTTTAAAAATTCCAAGTCAGCTTGCTTTAAAACGTTTAAAATCAGAAAATGCTGTGTACATAGGAGACTGAATATGAGAAATAGTTTCTGAATTAATAGTTTCTGCAAAGATTGAAGTATAGTGGTAAACAATAGTCCCCAATTATGTCACTTTTCTTGCCTTCACCTGCCTTTGTTGCTTTGTTTTTAGGTCTGTCAGTGGAATTTGGAACTGTTATAGTTTACACATGCGAGAGAAGCTGTTGGCCAACAAATCACCAAACACCTCTTGAAGAATTTATTTTTGTACAAGAAGACCCAGATCAGAAATTATTTAAATAAATTGTATTTCTCTACATAGATGAAAAGTCTGTTGGATGTTTTTTCTTGTTGTGGGTTTTTGTTTTTTTCTTAACTACAAGGGAAAGTGTATAACAATGCAACAATCCAGTTGTGCTGCTTTAATTTTAAACTGCCTGCATTCTTCTCTGGCATTCCCTGTTGATTTGGGCTAAATTGCAGTATCTAAATTGACTGAATGGAGGAGTAATTTAAGTCAATGTCCTTCGAGCATTCTGTACAGGTTTAATGCTGCAGCATAAATTAGTGCTGTAAAAGTGTGTGCTTAAAATGAGGGGAGGGGGAGACACACAGACAGACAACAGGACAGCCTGAACTGGTGGAATGTGTTTGCAAAGCTACTTTTTAATAGAAGAATTGTAGCTTATGACATCAACTTCTAGAGGAGAGTTAGTTAACTTAGGCTGAGTAATAATAATAAATATACAAAAAATATTAAATATAAATATGTTATGTAGATTAAAAATATCATAGAATATGCTGAGTTGGAAAGGACCCATCAGGATCATCGAGTCCAACTCCTTGCCCTGCACAGAATAAACACCCCAAGAATCCCAGCATGAGAGGATTGTACAAATGCTTCTTGAACTCTCTATATAGTAATATAATACATAAATATATTTATGATCTAAATCTATTTAATATATAAATATATAATATGTATAGCTATATTATATAAATATATTAAATATATAAACATTACCTATATAGTGATATTGAATATATAAATATATTAAATATGTATGTTTAAAATATTAATCTATTCAAAACAAACACAAGTAAAGCTCTCGTGTTGCCCGGGAGCGCTGCCGTGGGTGCTCCCGCTGTGTCCGGGCCGTGCCGGTCCCCGGGTGCCCAGCGCTGAGTTCGGGGACGGGGGTTCGCTGACCGCGGGGCGGTTCCCGGCGGGAGCGGGACTCGAACCTGGGGCGCCCGCCCCACTCTGCCGCGCGGTCCTCCGGGCCGGCAGGGGGCGCGGCGGGGCGCGGACGGCGCTCCGCCCCGCGCGGGCCGTGAGGAGGCGCGCGGAGCCGCCGCCGTGTCCGTCATGGCGGCGCCGCTGTCGGGGCCGCTGCGCCTCGAGCTGGCCCAGGCCGTGTCCCAGGCGCGGGTGCTCGTGGTGGGCGCGGGCGGCATCGGCTGCGAGCTGCTCAAGAACCTGGTGCTCACCGGCTTCAGCAACATCTACGTGGTGCGCGGCGGGCGGGGGCCGGGGCGGGCGGGCCGAGCCCGTGGGGGCGCTCGGTGGGGGCGCGGGGCCGGCGCGGCCGCTCCCGCCGCGCTGTGAGCGCGGGGCCGAACCGGACCCGCCCGGCCCGGCCCGACGCGGCCCGGCCGCCGCGGCACCGCCGGGCCGGGGGCGCCACAAAGGGCCGCGGCCTGCGCGCCATCGCCGCCCTCGGCCCCGGCCCCGCCGCGGCCGCTGCGCCGCCTCCCCCGGCACGGCACGGCCGCCCCCGGGAGCCGGCCCGGGCAGCGCCGGTGGAACCCCCCGGCACACCGCGCTGTCCGCCTCTGCTGCCCGGCCGTGTCGGGAAAGGCTGGGCTTTGCCCGGTGCCGGCGTGCCGGGGGTGGTCGGGGGTGAACTGGAGCGAGGAAAACCCGCGGGGAGGGGAGTTGTGTGTTCCGATACCGGGCTGTAGAACCGTCAGCGCTGGGATCCGGTTACGGCGCGTCCCGCGGGCTCCTGCTTTCACTTTTGCTTCCAGATATTAATCTGAAAGTGTGTGGGAAGGGCAGGTGTGTGTGTGTGGGGGGGTGATGGAATCGGGATAGAGAGAAATGTTGTCGGCAGAACTTGGGTTACCCGGTGTCCAAACCTGTATCGATTCCTTACTGTAATGAGGAACAGCGCATGGTTTCAAATCCAGCTGGAGCACAGTCTGTTCCCTTGAGTACCTTTGTCCTGCCGAGTGTGCCCAGGAGTCACACCTGGGAGTTTGGTGTGCCAGGCTGGAGGAGTTTGGGGTTGTGCTCAGACGGGCTGAGCAGAGCAGCTCGTACCTGCAACTGTGTCAGCTCGTAGAACAACAGCTACTGGTTTGCCGTGTTATCTCTACAACTCAGACTTTCCCACTGAGATACGCTTAAAACACATTCTACAAGTTTAAAAAGTAATTCCAGGTTGTCCCTTTTGTTTAGAGCCTTTCCAATTTGAACATTGTAGCAGGGAAATAAACTGTAGAAGAGAGGAAACCTGCATTTTCTGCAGTGTTCCCCCTTTTTTCCCCACCTTACCAAGTCAGTTGTGTCCTCCTGCAGAACATTACAATAGAGTTTAATAGCTCCTGATTTTCCAGTTGTTCATTAGGCATAAATCTCCTGCTTATTGTTTCACTTATTATAATTTAGGTTCTGGTATTGTCTTTCAAGGCTGACTTGGTTGAACTCCATTAACTTAAGTACATGTTGGATCAGAGCTGTCTTCATTTAACAATATCACTGGCAGTGTTTCATGCAGGACAGTAATAGTTTATTAACATAAGGAATGGGTGGGTAGAAGACAAGGTGAGAGCAAAAAAATAATAATTATGCAAAGAGGAAATTTGCTATGGGGGAATAAATTGCTTTTGTCAATATTTGTGATATTGTTGAGGGTTTTCCTTGATTGTTAAATACTAACAAACCTGAACACTTGAAAATACTTTATATTTTTATAAGTAAGTTGTGATTTTAAAAAAAAAAAAATACTAAAAAAAATTAGTAGTTTTGAATACCAGACAACTCACAAATATGTGACTTAATTATACTGTGTTGAAAGGCTGTTGTCCTTAGGAATGGAGAATAAAATGTAGTTACTCAATATCCAGATCTGAATTAAGAACATGATATATGTTCTTAAGAAGTTCTGATGCCTTTTCTTCCAGCTGACTAAAATGGTAGCTGTGTAGAAGTTGTTTAATAGGTGAACTGTTAAATTTTGATCATTTTGAGCTGGACTGGAGCTTCTGTTGAGGTCTAATAGTCAAGTTTTCTCTCTGGAGAAAACCTTCCTTTGTCTCCTTTACCCTGTTTTTGCTGTTTGCAGTGGTATTTTGTGTCCCTTTGTCCTCATCCCCAATTAAAATACTCAAAGTTTTCTGGGTAGTGGAAGTTTTAACAGAGTTTTACCCTTAACTGTTTTCCCTTGAGGTTCTTGCTTTTTTTGGCTTTGGACTAAACAAGCTTTCTGAGTGTGTCTCAGGAGAAAGAAAGGAGGTAGAAATGTGTTTTCATGCAAATACCATTTTCATTAAAAGATACAAGGCTATGGGTAGTTACTCTGATACTGTGGGTGATAAAGGTTAACAGTCTCTGCTTTATAATACATTTCTAAGGCATTGTATCTTTTCTGTTTGCTCTATATTCACAAGTGCTTATATTTACTGTTTCAATAAAACTCTTGAGCTATTGCAGTTCTTAGTATATTAAAGCTTAGTCCTTAAATTAAAGATATTCCCTTCAGAAAACAGGAATTTTAATCTCGGAGTTTGGATCTTGCATGCAAAGCATGTTCCAGAAGTGTTTTTTTCATAATTCATAAAATGAGAAGTGTATGAGAACATCCTCAGTGTCATGTTTACCCTTCACACTGCACTGTCAGGCTGAGAGGAGTGTGCAGTGAAAGTGTTGCTGTGTTGAGTTTGTCACCATTATCTGTGGGAATTGTGAGAAACATCTCTGATACTCAGAAAAACTGTCCCTCCTCCTGGTTACAAATGTTAAGGACAGGAGAGGACTTCTAAAAAGAGTCACTGATCAGAGAAACTGTTTAATTAGAGGAAAAGTAGTAACAAAACAAGGTGGTGGGGGTTACAGACATTTGAATTTTTGCTGTTCCTGTGCACATATTAATAAATAGGAACAAGGCTTTTAGGGGAATTGCAGACATGGCATTCTTTGAGGTTGTACACCACAGGTGTTCTGTGCTGTATGTTTTTAGACACCTTGATTGTGTGATTGGATATTTTTATTTTGTAAGCAAACTTCATTATTTTTTAACATGCACTTGGGCAGTTAGTCCTGTGACAGCCCGTAAACCTCGTGCCCTGCAGTGTGTGTGTAAGATGGTGATGCAGCCCGTGGTTCAGTGATGCAGTTGCTCAAAGCCATGTTCATTTGTAAACTGGTTGGTTTGGAGCAGCCTTTCCTGCACCTTGGGGAAGCCCAGAGCAGTGTTCAGGGTGGGATTCCTGAAGGTAATGAGGTGATAAT